CCCTCACTCGCCGCCCCACGGGCCGGCCATCGACCCGGCCACCCCGTACGCGTCCCTACAGCCTGGACAGGGCATGGGCAGCAATGGGCATCATCACGGCGGCGCCGGTATGATGACCGATCATCCACATCACCCGGGCCACCCGCACCCACACCTACCCGGACACCCTGCTTATCCACCGGTCAATCACAACAACAATTGTACGCTTAAGGTAAGAGAGCGATCTTGTTTCCAGAATTTTTTCAAATTTTCCGTATGTTACGTCGATGGGATTTCGGTGGGGATTGGGAGGAGTTTGTGTGGTGCAGTGGTTTGAGTGTTTGGCGTTTGTGGTGATTGGAGAATAGCATAATTTTCTATGTGTGTAGAAATTTGAAATTTGGAAAGATATAGGGAGATTTGTAACTTGAGAGAATATTGCGTGTGCTCGGAAAATTAGCAGGAATTTAAAATTTGAGAATGCATGCGGCGACGTAGTATAATATAAGGTGACTTTTCGAATAATTCAAGGATGACCGAGAAATCAGCTATTTTGTCGTTTGAAAGTGTGAAATTTTGGAACACCACCGTTGAGGTACACTCCCGAGCTCCAGATTAATTTCTCATCTGCAGCCGGAGCGGCGGATTTGTACAGTGGAATCATTTTCGGTATCATTATATTTCCTGCTCACTTTTATTATCCCACTCCGGTGCCATTCCGGTGTGCCCTCCGTCTGTTCTCGTCCTCCGTTGGCCGTTACAAAAGCAAACGAGGAATCAAATTAAATGAAAATCCCTCGTTAATGAGGCCGGTCGAGTGGCGTCGTTCCTACCCCTCCTCAATCTCCCTATTCCACATAGAGAAAGGGAAAGATGATCGCGGAGCGTTTCGTATCGCGAAACGGTTCTCCTCGTACGATTAAAATGCACTTTCTACGCTGGCTGGTCGCGCGAGGATGGTCACGAGAAAAAGTTTTTAACCGGAAGCAGCTGTGGAAGTCGCGTGTACGCGGCTCATTGTTCGCGTAATAACCAACGTCGGACGTTCATTACGTAAGCGCGCTACTCTACCGTCTAATTTCCCTTAAATAACAATACGCGCTGCTTCTAATCCCCGGAGCCCACACCAGAGTCTCACGCAACAACCGTTTGAAAAACACGCAGAGAATCGTCGGACGAGATCCCTTCGATCTCGAACGCATCTCGATGATCCTGTCAACCTATCGACCAAACACCTTTTCACCCAGCTCTCGAAATCACCGTGTCTAACGTTGTACAGGTGGCCCGATGAAAGTTACACGATCTCGACCTCCCTATCGAAACACAACCGGTGATTCTTCCCGGTTGAACGGCATTTCTTCGTGGAACTAACGCGAGGAGAAGTCCGCAAAAGCACAGAGAGAGAATCGACGGGGCAGGGTCGCAGGCTAAAATTCAGAAGGCATTATCCGTCTACGTGACCCTCACTTAGCTCGCCATTGACAAACGTAACAATATAGGCATTTACCATGGAGAAATATAATTGAATAGGGGCGGAGGGGACCGAGAGGCGG